ATCATAATTATAAAATATAAATGCTTATAATAATAATAATAATTTTAATAATAATTATAATTAATAATAATAATTTGTAATAATAATTATAACTATTTATAATAATTATAAATAAGAATTATAATTTAGAATAAATTATAATAATAATTATAATAACAATTTTTATATTATAAAAATAAATTATAATCTATTTTAATAGTTATTACAATAATTATTACATATGGAAAAATTTAATAATTATATTTTTGATTCAGGGTGTTAGCAGAATTGGACAATCTTATGCCAAGGACGACGACGAGGAGTTCGATGACTACTATGATGGTTCTGGCACCCGACTCACTAGAAGTTGGGGTGTCAATGCGTCCGTTCGTTCCGACCGGCCTTCGCCGTCGGACGTCTTTTAAGGCGTTCGACCGGTCGGTTCAGACAGAGCCCGTCCTACCGGACCAAGATTTTGAACGGCTTTTATGCCGTCCGAACCGGCAGGCCGGACGCCATTGGACCGTCCGGTTTCGGCGGTCAGACTGCCTAAAAGCCGTTCGGTTTCTTCGGCCGGACAAAAAAATTCGTATCTCGAAATTTAAAAACATTTCGTCGTACACTTTGATTTGAGATATTTAAAAAAAATGAAAAAAGGTAAAATCGTTCAATGAGGGACAATGAGTAGTAACAGAGACGGTAAATAGTAACTCCATTTTTTCAATCTATTTCATGCTATCCCCGTTTGAGAGGTGTCTCGAAAGGCTGAAAGCCAAGTACCTTTATACGCCGGGCCCATTATCGCAAGCTAGGGTTTTTATCCACCCTTTAAAACCAGATTCCAAAACCTTGGGCATATGCTATCCCTTCCTCCTACACCACCTGCCCCAAGAGAAAATGATGGTATTTTCTGGCAATGTCTGTGTCTACGGAGATATTTCTATGGTGATGTTTTTAGTTTGATGCACTATGAATTGTACCATGTCCAGTTCCATCAGTACCAGATGGTGGGTAGAGCTCTGCCAAATACGGAACATTCGAAGATCTACCGAATAAGACACTGTCCCATAGAGTACTTGCAAGGTCTAAGTTCATATGCTTGTGTTTGCCTGCACATTTGATGTCCTTTTAAGCATTTTTTTTTTAAATTCAGTTTTATAGAGAAAAGAATACAGAAACAATTATTTAAATTCTTTTAGTGAATGATTTGCTCAAATTTTTTGACTGATAAAATCAAGGCTTGTTGCTGTTTTTTTCCTTCCTTTGTCATTTTTAATTTTATTATTTGTGGCCTAATATTGCAAATCCGTCGGTTTATTTTCGTAGATCGATGGATCTATCGTTAGGCCATATCAAGCCCTAAGCATATATATAATCATTCCTGTATATATGTTTCTACCTTTAGCTCCGAGTTCTTCCTCTTATTTATAGGATATTCGGTGACAAGGTAGATACATTATTAGCCTTTGTTTAGTTCTCTTTTATCTTGTTGTGTGCGTTCAATTTTATTTGATTATAATTAGTGATGATGAAATAAGTCAATTCCCAATGATATATCCGTGATTTCTTGACCAGCTACTTCTGACCTAATCTTTGTTAAAATTGAATGTTTGTTGGCCGTTGATGTGAGCAATATTTGCTACTCTTGATGGGAAGTAAAATATATATTCCCATTTGATGATTCTCATCCACCAAGATCTCTGAGGCCCCAATTAGATTGATATAGTTTTTATATTTTATTATCTACAACTGTGTTGTAATCTTTTGGTTAATGCGTCGATTACTGATTACCGTCACTCTATTGAAATGGGTGTTTGTGTATGAGCCGACGCAAAATCTACTATCCGTTTCTGCATTTTGAACGGGGCTTTGTTTCATTTGAGCTCAACCAAATTAGAAACGGTGAAATTTATTGTATATTATCATATGATTACTGTTAATGCGTTGATTACTGTTAATTCATGCTTTTGTTCTCTAATTAAGCAGAAAGTAATTCGCATTCCTTAATTTTTTGGGGATAGTTAGTGATTTTAGCACCGACTGTTTTTAGCCATTTTCCTTCTTTTCTGTTTTCGCTGCGTTGCTTCATATGTGTAAGTACTGGTGATTTTAAGTTTTCTCAATGTGTAATCACCTTTAGTATGGGGTAGTAGCTGCTTCATGATCTCATAGAACCATATGTAAGTTTTCAACATTAATATGCATTCTGTTGTTGTTCAATTATGTATGTTGTTAAGCAAGCGTAACGGTTATGCAATCATACTTTTTCAATCGATATCTATACTTTCAAATTGAAACGTCATACTCTAGAAAACAACATAAATAATTAATTTCCTATGATAAGTATTTTTTTATTTTAAAAAAAATGATGGGTGGACTTGCCTAATGGTTAGGCTGCTTCACACAAGAATTGGTGATTATGCATGCATTTATGTTGGTTTGTTGTTCGAGATTTTCAAGGAATCTGGAAATTATAGAAATATGAGAAGTTGTATAAAGCAGAATTTAGCATTTGCACTAGAATTTTATTCAAAGCACGTTTGGTACTTGAATGAGGGAATTTTGATCTATAATACAAGTAGAGGCATTGGTGTCTTAGGGAGTATTTACTTAAAGGTTTTCTGGCTTCCGGGTTTAGCTTTAGTGTTTAGGGCTTACTGGAAGTTTTTGTAACTGCAATTGTATTTATTTATTTTTCAATTTTAAGTTGTACTTATGATGTGTGCTTCGTTAAAGTTGAAATTTAACTATCTGTGATCACTTCTTCTTCACACTATTAAATTTCATGTGTATAGGGATAATGCCGCACAAAACTCGACCTATGACTGCGCTTTTGCTCTTCACTGGAGTGAATGTTGTTCTGGTGTCAACAATTGGCCCTGTCTATGATTTTGTTTGCTTCCTTCCGTACTGGGAAAGGAGGGTATGTTTCTCACAGTTGTTATGTTTTCTCTGTTGCTGTAAATTCTTGAAAAAGGGTAATTAATAATCATTTCATTTGGAGTAAATTTGTATAAATATTGAACTCCTTTCATTTGCACTGATTCTTATCTTTGGCTATAATCTACCTTCTGCTCTGCTAGTCCACATTACGTTTTTATAATTATTTTTCTGGCATTTCTGTATATAACTAAAATAATTGACTCATGTACGTTTATCAGTTTGTGAGCGCTTGCTATAGTGAACATCTTCTTCTATATCAGCATAAAAGCGTGATTTGCTTTAATCGAATTTTCATATATTTTGCCGTGGCATTGCGCAATTCTTGCTTATGCAACATTGGGAAAAATCTTTGTGGTGGTTTTAATTTGTAATTCGTTTCAATGGTAAAAAATTTATTTCCATTTTTAATGTATTTTTTTCTCTCTTTCTCTTTGTTTTCTTGTGCTGATACTGGTACACAGAGAGAACGTCGGCGCCTGGAACGTGAAGCTGCCTCTTCCAAAGGTTTAGCATAATCATAAGAGTATTAAATTAAATAAAGGGTATATTGTAATTTTTTAAAAAACATTGGGCTTTGTTCGCGATTGTTATAAGTTCATGATGCATCTGATGATGTAGGGATACTTGTAAATGTTTTTGTGTTAAATGTCTTCGGAGTACACAGGAATGTTTTCGGAGCACACAGGAATGCAAATTATTATAGCCTTTTATTAAAGATGGTTGATTGTATCCCATGAAATCTGTTAGTTACTGTGTTTGTGAAGGTGAAAACTTTGGGTTCTGATCCATATATGATTATGAAAGCCTTTATTTTTATGGTGCTGTGGAGATTTTTTTTTTTAAAATGTCTTCTTAAGTAGCTTCACCATTGAAACCATATATTGTGTAGGGCTCGACTGCTCACGAACTGCAAAGAAGAATATTCAGTTCTTGTAGTACTATCTGTTTTAGTTGCACTTCTTTGGATTTTTATGTGATATCTCATTTTTGTCATTGAACTTCGACTTGTGTATTTGTCTCCTCTTCATTTGATGCCTTCCCCTAAGTCGGGTCACTATCGTCAAAGGTCTTAGTTTATATCAAAGGCGGGTTTGGTTGGCTTGGGATTTGCATTATGCAACAATAAAGTGACCGTTGGCCTTATTTGTGTGTAAGATTTGTTAGCATATTATGTCCAAAAGGTTTTGTTTGAAATTAGTTTGGGTTGTGGAGAAAACAGGACTTTAAAGTAAATCGATGATATAAGTAAATCGAGTGATTTAAGATTGCAACTTTCACAAATTTTGAATTGGGTCACCTTGCTTGGGCATCGATGATATAAGTAAATCGAGTGATTTAAGATTGCCAACAGAATAACAAATGTGATTCTATTTTGCCTTGTCCTAATCTACACAGGGCATGTTTGTTAGGGGAGATTAGATAGGATTTGGCTGCATATCCAACCTTAATCGTTTGTTTGCGACCCAAGACTCGAACAATAAAAGTGTATGAATTATAAGAGAATTACTGGCTGATTTTCTCGTGACGGAGAGGCTGCGTACAGTTATCCATCTGGTGGGGCTGTAGACTTCGGCTTTTTTCTTCCCATTTTATAGATTTTTTTGCAAGCGGGGTTGTAAAAAATTGGGTGGTGAGTTTAAAATGGCATATAGGTATATTTATATTTTCATAGTATTGTATTACAAATTCTCCCGTGTTCTCAATGTAGAACAATTGCTGCCTTATTTTGTTTTGCGAATTTTATCCCTCTTTGTGTTTGTTAACTTAACCCTAGGGTGGCACAAAACTTCAGATTTGATGGAAATTTTATGTATTTTATTTGTTCTTGATTGAGATTTGTTAGTCGGTGTGAATGAGATCTTAAATTTGATGGTGAAATGATTAAGATTTTTTTCAGATTATTTTGATGGTGAACTGATTATGAATTTAGGTATCCTAGCCACGAGTGAATTGGGTAAAATTTTAGGCACAAATTGATAATTCGTAATTTTTATCCCATATCTTATTTAGGAACCAAATGTGGAACACAAAAAAGTTAAGAAAATTGTATCTTGAGCCATCTTTCCTAACAAACGTAGATGGTATATAGTCTCAACTGTGCGATTTTGGACCACAATATAAAAATTGTCTAGTCTAGTTCGAGCAAACAAACGCATCCATATGGGATTTTATTGCAAAGGGATAAGATATAAATAATATGTTCGATTTCGTCTAACTGAATAGTTATCTATATATATATAATTACTAGCTAATAGAATTTAATAAAACCTATTTAATTTTACCTATGTGACAATTTAATAATTTTCCCTCCAAAAACCGTTACATTTTGATGTATTTAATCTTTCATTTAAACATTAAATAATTAATACTCATCACTTCAAAATTACAAAAATCATTTTAAACTTTTGATTAATGACAGTTGACCATATAATGTGTTGACCGTATAATGTGATTAGATATTATTGTTGTTACATTTAATTTTTTTTTTTAAAATAAAAAATATATTTGAAATTCCTAAATAAATAATAAATAATTCACAATTAAAAGACGTACCAAAATATACATTACATCCAATCAGATAAACGCAATTTAAAAAAAAAATATTCCAACTCTTTTAATTGTAAATTTGGTCTGCAAAAAAGTGAAAGAAAAATAATTAATCATTATATGTACAGACTCACAATAATTTATTTATATCTGTGCAAATGCACAGGTCGAATACTAGTTTAAGTAGAATTGTGATAAGGTATAATTTAAATAAAAAATACTTTAGACTTATTTATATTTTTTTTACCTCAAACTTATCAACACAATTACAAATATAAATCAATCATTGATGTATATTATTTAATAAAATTTATTATTTATCTATTCATATAATTTAAATCATTTTTTTTATAATTATTACTTTATTATTTTTATATAATATCAGCTTAAATTATTACATTTTCTCTCAAATTCATTTACAAACTAATAAATAAATATTTTTTTTCATTCAAATTTTTTTCCCATTTTTTCATTAGTTTACCTTGGGATTTTTTTATTTTTATTTTTTTTCAAAATATTCTATATTAATTGTCTTCCATTTTCCATATAGAGAAAATTGATTAGCTAAATATCGAGAGAACAGATTTTATTCTACTTCTTTTTTTTTCCAATTTTTTATTCTATTTCACTTCACCATATGGTGTACTTATATCACTCTTTATAATTTCCAAATGGAATTTATCCATTCCACATTTTTATGGTTACCCATCTAAACTTTTGAGAGAAACAAAAAAAAAATCATAAAGAAACACACAATAAAAAAATCACATTAACTTCTAATTCATCCATCCTTAAAAAAAAAAAAAAAATAAATAAAATAAAATAAAATAAAATAAAATGCTTCTAATTCGTCCATTCAAAATTTCATCCAAACTATTTTACTATTTTAACATTTCATTACGTTTTCAAAACTCGAAAATATTCCAACCTCATCCCTTCCCCTCCAAAGCCCTATATTATCTTCAGTTCTTCACCTTGACCCCTTTTAAGGTTTATAAACCTCTTTCAACCAAAGAACCCATTCTGCTCAACCAGAAGTAGACAACAGCTTGAAAGTTCAAAGCGAACACCAAAGCCACATTTTTTCCCCCAAATACATATGAATGGCCCCTCTTTTCAGGCCTAGTAGCTCTCTCAAACGCATGGCCTCTCGTTTTCTCACATCCGTTCACTCTTTTCATTCTCATGGCCACTGTCATTTCGCGCCCTCCTCTACTTGTGCCGTCGCTCGACCCTCCTTCATACTTCTCAACAGCAGGTGCCCATTTTGTGTTCCTTTTAATTTGTTATTGAGTTGCGTATGTCGACTCATGTGTAGGCCCTAGGCAATGGTTTTTGTAATGGGGTTTGTTAAATGTTGCAAGGCCTTAGCTTTTTTCGTGGGTTTGTTGGAAAAAATGTTTAGAGAGTTCTCATAGGATGACTGCGTAATGTTTAAGTACTTTTGTGCTTTGAGGAGCACTATGAGGTGGGAAATTTGTGTGGGTTGGTGCTGGTTGCTACAGCCCATGTGGCACGGTGTTTTCATACAGACAAGCAATTTCATCTAGATTCTAAGTGGATTTTTTTTTTTTTTTTTTTTCCTTTTGTTATCTTTGATGTTGATATTGATAAGATGTGCTTGCAGTCTTGTCTGTTCCAGAGCAAGTGATAGGTTGAGCTTGAGGAATGTTTCAACCAAGTTTATGCAATGGAATGCTGTGGTTCCCAGAGCATTTATGTCATCAACTGTCAGCAGCGAGGCTGTTCGTGAAAGTAAAGTTTCGAAAGAATATGGATCAGATCAGATTCTGGTGAATTGCTGGCCTTTGATGAACAAGTAAATGTGTATTGTGTTTCCACGTAGTCATGGTTTAAAATCTCTTTCCTTGTTACTTGTTTGCAGATTTTGACAAGGCATACATTTTTTTTTTGTCCTTTTTTCTTTTTCTTTAAGGTATTGGAAGGTTTAGACCCGGTAAGGAAACGACCTGGAATGTACATAGGAAGCACTGGATCCCGTGGTCTTCATCATCTGGTGTGTTATTTTCTTTCTTTGTTTTGATTATTTAGTACCAATTGTGAAGGTTAAGGAGAAGTGTTAAAGTTATGTTGAATTAATCTGTTGACAGGTTTATGAAATCTTGGATAATGCCATTGATGAGGCACAAGCCGGATTTGCTTCAAAAATTGATGTTATTCTACTTGCAGATAATTCAGTGAGCATAACAGACAATGGGCGTGGAGTATGTTCCTTCTCTGTGGCATCTGGAAATTATGATTACTCTGTTGTATAGATTAGATGAGGCATAATTTTTGTGTTGTGTACTTCGCGAGCATGCTACTTACTTTAATTAGTCTGTTAGTTGTGTTAGAATCATTTTCATATTCTGACATTGCTTATTCGTGCTTTGCAGATCCCAACTGATTTACATCCAACAACTAAAAAGTCTGCTTTGGAGACTGTCTTAACGGTAGGGGATTTTTTTTTTTTTGGTAATTTTAGTTGTAAGAACTTCAAATCAGGGTGTACTGCGTTAACCCCTTAGACTACTTTAAATTGTATAAGGGTTTTCCTCTGTTTAGGCTGATTTCATCATAGCCCAAAAGGCAGTTGTCTTTGATTTAATTCCTGAAAAAGATGTTGATCAAGGCCTCTACTGTCATGGAAGTTTTTGTTATTTTGTTATTGAATTGACTATCTCTAACTGTTGGCAAAGTATTGCTATATGAAGTGAAGCATTATTGCAGGTTTTGCATGCAGGTGGGAAGTTTGGTGGTTCAAGTAGCGGTTACAGTGTATCGGGTGGTCTACATGGTGTGGGTTTATCAGTAGTTAATGCGCTGTCTGAGGTATCAGTTCTTGGTCATTACAACTTCTAACTCTTTAGTCTTCTCCACTTATTTTATCACTTCTTCTTCATTACATGGTGCATTATTTTTACATGTTTGTTCTCTGACTTTCATGTATCTATCTCGTGAACTCTGCTAGTTGCTTATAGTGCATAATATTTTCGAACACATAATCTTTTACAAATGTTTGGCTCGACAACTGTATTTTTGTTCTTATCCTCAATTGGCTTTTTCATCCTTGTCTTTGCTTGTGGGCAGGACCTTGAAGTTACTGTGTGGCGCGATGGTAAGGAGTACAAGCAGAAATATTCCTGCGGAAGGCCTGTGACAAACTTAGTCTCTAACGAGCTTCCATTTGATATGAGAGACCGTCAAGGGACTCGCATACATTTTTGGCCCGACAAACAAGGTCATTTTTTTTTATTTATTTGTTTATTTTCTTTATAGTAGACAATTGCTGATGGATCATGTAAAATTGTTTGAATGGTTTTCCTCTCAGAAATATTCACGACTGCTGTTGAGTATGACTACAACACAATTTCTGGAAGAATTAGGGAGCTTGCTTTCCTCAATCCTCAGGTACAGCATTAATTTCAGGTTATGTTTTTGGAAAATATATCTCATTTTTTTGTTTTCACCTTGATTAATACCCAGGGTTCTTTGTTACAAAAAAAACGAGCCGTTTTTGTTCTATTACTAACAACAGATGAGATATTTTTCTTTACTTTTAGGTCACAATTGTACTTGAAAAGGAGGACACAGACCCAGAGAAGAGGTTGCATAATGAGTATAACTATGCTGGAGGATTAGTGGAGTATGTGAAATGGCTTAATGCCGATAAGGTATGCTTTGTGTTTGTATAGCTCATTCTTTGTAGTCCAAACAACAAACCTTGTCTAACGTTTTCATTATATTTATTATATTTTGTCATGATACTGTTTTCTTTTGCGCCCTAAGCACGATTTGAACCGTATCATTAAAGGTCTAGGCTGTTTAGCTTGCTTTTGCCACCATTTATGTATTATTAGTAAACAAAAGATTAGTTGTTTGATAGAAAAAAATATGCAGTCATGTAGTTTGTGATGACCCTTTGTTCTTCTGCTTTACGAGTCATTGTAATTATATTAGCCTTCAAAACCACATTACTATTAAGTGACTTTGCCGAGCGTATTTGGAAATATTCCCATAACTTCACACATTCTTGATCCAGAAACCTCTTCATGATGTCGTGGGTTTTAGGCAAGAAGCTGATGGAATCTCAATTGATGTAGCACTTCAGTGGTAAGAAATCTGAATTTATCATTTGCTTTTATTTTTCTTTGGTTCGTTCGCCTTTTCCTTCCGGGTTTCGATTTTAGAAAAATAAGCATTTTCTGAATTTATCATATGAATTTAATTTGGATATTTTTTGATCTTTACACAGGTGTGCAGATGCATATTCAGATACGTTATTAGGATATGCCACCAGCATTAGAACTGTGGATGGTGGCACTCACATTGACGGGGTGAAAGCATCGTTAACTAGAACGCTCAACAACCTAGGAAAGAAGTCCAAAGTCATTAAGGTATTATGCATAGAAATTTGAATTTTTTGTTTTAATCTGTCATGTTTGTCAATATCTTCACCTTAAAAGTTGTTATTTTCCCAGGAAAAGGATATTAGCTTAAGTGGTGAGCACGTGAGAGAGGGATTGACTTTTGTGTCATCTCTGTCAAAGTTCCAAACCCAGAATTTGAAGGACAGACAAAGGTATACTGTATAATAAAAAAAAAAAAAAAAAAGAAATCTTCTAGAACTTCTGAGTTTGCATGTTGAAATTTTATTGAAATCAAAATTTCGTTCGAATCCGAAAGACACGATTAGGAAATCCTGAGGTGAGGAAAGTGGTCGATCAATCTATCCAAGAATATCTTACTGAGTACCTCGAGTTGCATCCGGATGTTCTTGATGCGATTCTTTTAAAGTCCCTCAATGCTCTCAAGTTATATTATTATACATTTGCGGGATGCATTTGAATTTTAAGCTTCTGTTATTTTAATTAGCTTCTTGGAGGATTTCAAACCAATTTTTCGAAACATCTGTTTTTGATGAATCATGATTCAAATATTTGTTTTTAGGCAGCACTAGCTGTCGCGCGCGCTAGGCGCGGGCACGGACAGAGGCACTGCCTGGCCTCTGCGACGTGGCATGGGCACGGCACGCGCGACAGGCGCTGCTGGTGACCGTAACCGGTCCTTCGCCGAGCTTCCGGCAACTAATCCGGTGACTACCAACCCAAATCAACTCAACATGGTAAATGACACATAAAAATGCCAAGAATAACTATGAGACCTCGGTCAGATTTGGAGATGGGCTTATGGGGCCGATTAGGCACGAGGCCACACTAGGGCACGAAAATGAACATGCTCAACATGAAATATGACTTAGAGCCGAATTATCTACATTAAAAATCATGACTATGAAGGCTAGAACATTAGTCATAACATACATGTATATAGACTTAGGTTCGGAGGTGAAAATGGCTCGATTTCACTTAGCAATTTGACCGAGCATATGAACTCAAAGCATGCTAATCTCTTACCAATGTAATCCACATGATTTTTAAGGAATAATAAGCTATGAAAGTCGACCTAAGCATGCATGCACAAGAATACATTAGAAATTTTATTGAAATCAAAATTTCGTTCGAATCCGAAAGACACGATTAGGAAATCCTGAGGTGAGGAAAGTGGTCGATCAATCTATCCAAGAATATCTTACTGAGTACCTCGAGTTTCATCCGGATGTTCTTGATGCGATTCTTTCAAAGTCCCTCAATGCTCTCAAGTTATATTATTATACATTTGCGGGATGCATTTGAATTTTAAGCTTCTGTTATTTTAATTAGCTTCTTGGAGGATTTCAAACCAATTTTTCGAAACATCTGTTTTTGATGAATCATGATTCAAATATTTGTTTTTAGGCAGCACTAGCTGCAAAGAGGGCAAGGGAATTGGTGAGACAAAAGAGCGTTTTGAAATCATCTTCCCTTCCTGGAAAGCTTGCTGATTGTTCATCTACAAATCCTGAAGAATCTGGTATATGATTATTTATTACAATTGTTATTATTATTATTATTATTTAGCTTATTAGTACAGTTAACATCTATTTGTTCAATTCCAAAAAAAATTCAGAGATATTCATAGTTGAGGGTGACTCAGCTGGTGGGAGTGCCAAACAAGGCCGCGATCGCCGGTTTCAGGTGAAGATTTAAGTTTCTTTTTTTGTAACTTCTAAGTTTTATATTATACATGGTGTAATATAACATAATATTAGTTACACATTGAGGTTTATGAATAAAAAAATCTGGTGACGTTATACAGGCCGTGCTTCCTTTAAGGGGTAAAATTCTCAACATTGAGAGAAAGGATGAAGCTGCTATGTACAAAAATGAAGAGATTCAAAATCTTATTCTTGGTCTTGGACTTGGAGTGAAGGTGTAGCTCTTTCCAATATATTTTTTTTTTTCCCAATACGATACACATATTACATATTTCTTTTTGTTTCCAATTTTGTCTTTAATTTTTCACTCTTCCATTATTGATTCCTTTGACTTTTCAGGGTGAAGATTTTAATAAAGATTCTCTACGTTATCACAAAATCATAATATTAACCGATGCTGATGTTGACGGGGCTCACATACGAACATTGTTGTTGACCTTTTTCTTTCGCTATCAGGTGAGGTCATTTATTTTAGTACAAAAAGAAGCTGTTTTCGAAGATATTATTATTATTTTTTTCCTTTTTTGTTTCTGATTTTGTTGGCTATTCGAGTTTACATTGGGAACTTACACAATTTTGCCTGCAGAGAGCTTTGTTCGACGAAGGGTGTATCTATGTTGGGGTCCCACCTCTATATAAGGTACTTGAAGATGATTTTCCAAGTTGCTTTATTTCTATTAATTTGAACTGAAAAAAAAGGGGGGCTCGATTTAATAATTACAAATCCATAATTCAGGTTGAGACGCGCAAGCGAGCATATTACTGTTACGATGACCATGATCTCAATCGCCATATACGTGAACTTTCTCCGAATTCATACACAATTCAGAGGTTTAAAGGTGGGTTTTTTTCCTTCAAAAGAAGATATTGGTGGCCAATAAATTTAGAATTACCTATATGCCCTTTGTTTGCAATGGAGAAACTGTATATGGCCTATTCTACTACTCATCTGACCGACATTTTAATTTGAAAAATAAAAAAAAAAATCAGGCTTGGGGGAGATGATGCCTGCACAGCTTTGGGAAACAACCTTGAATCCCGAGACGAGATTGCTGAAGCAATTAAAAGTCGAGGATGTTGCTGAGGCTAATGTTGTCTTTTCGTCTCTCATGGGATCTCGAGTAAGTAAAAAAAAAAATGTTGTTTTCGAGGCTTTTTCTATAAACTGTTGAGGAACTCCCCAGAAAAATCAAAATGCAAATATGCCTTTTT